AGTCTGTATGACACACGGACCATGGCCCAAGCCAAACAGCGAACGTGACGGTTTTCCATTGTAAATTATCTTAGCTGTGTATAACGTTCTCTTGTGAATCATGGAAATTCCCACAGACAATGAATGCAGGTACGCTTTCATTGGCTTTTACTTTCTTTTATTTACTCTTGTTTTTTTGTCTGTCTGTTCTATTCCCCAATACTTTACTGCCCTCTAGTGTCCTGACATGGTTCTACTACAACTCCCCCTTTCAGTCAGTCAAGATATTTTTTTACTCTTCTTTTGACTTTTACCTGGTTGGTCAGCCCAGGCCACCGCATCCATTCTCCCTTTAGCAGAATATCCTCTGCTACATGTATGTCCATTCTGTGCTACCAATATGGCAAGAGACTCTCTGGGACTGCATCCCTGTGCAAAGGCCAACCTCTGTCCGCAAACACCCTTAGGTGTCTTGTGGTTCTGTCTTTGTTCTGCATGTCTCTAATCTGGTGCAGTTTTATTTTAGTTGCAGGTATGTGCTCCATGACATGATCAGTGTCACACTCCCTTTTCAGTGTCAGTCTCTAGTGTGTTCTGGTCCAAGTGGAGCTTGTGATAATGCATCAGCTGCTAACAGTTGTTTTTCTGAGACATGAATGATTCTGTACTTGAATCTCACCTGCATCTGCACGGTATTGCACTGCATCTGCACTGTATTGCACTGCATCTGCACGACACATTTGTCATTTAGAGCGAGGTCTGCATTCTCAGTCTTCTGGAGAACGTCACATAGCCAATCATCATGCTCCCTCCGGTCTTTGCCAAGCACCAAAATGTCCTCGGCATGACACAGTGTTCCTGGCGTGCCTGGAACAATCTGAGAGATTCTGAGCTGGAAGTGCTCAGTGGCCGATGAGATCCCAAAAGGCAGTCACTTTATACAGTACCTTCCTAAGGGTGTAATGAAGGTCGTCAAAGGCTCAGAATCTTTATGTAAGGATATCAGCCAAAACACTACTGCTCCATACAACCTTGCAAGAGTGTCATCCACAGCTGGGAGTATGTACCTCTCAATGAACACTTTCGTCTACGCAGAGCCTAATATTTCTGCTGGCCTTTGGTACAACCTCCATCCCAGCACACCACTCAGTGGGCTCTTGCATTTGTCAGATCTCTCCATCCTATGCAGCTCCAGCTTCACTTTGTCCAGAAGAGGCATTGCTACACATCGAGGGGCTGACAGCACATACTGTATGGCGTTGCCTCCTCAGCCAACTCTATCTTCTACTATTCCTGAGTACACTTTACGGACCATTGCTATGAGTTTGATTCCTTGGTTGTTAGCTTGAACTGCAGGAGCTTGCTGAAGTAGCGGCAGGCCCTGGACGATAGGAAGACCTAACAGCGCCATCACCAGATCCTTAACTATAAAAACTCCCTGCTGTTTTTTCTGCCTCTATTGCAGCTTTCTGTTCTCTGAGCAGCGAGCTTCTTGTGACCTGCCCCCCCCCCCCCCTTAGATTTCCATAGCGTTCCAGCAGTTAGAGCGTCCACAACCAGGGACGGATTACGGACCGGGCCAGCGGGGCCGCTGCCCAGGGGCCCTTGGG